AATGAAACACTTCGGCATTTTTTGAGCATGATTAAAATTCTGACATTGAGCTGTTATGACATATTTTTCGTCTATTTTTAAAGATAGTTACACAAAATATAGAGAGTTTGTTTTAATTCTTTAATTTTATTTTTTCTTGTTTTTTGTAAAGTTTAAGTATCATAAATTGATTTTGTAATTTTTACTTTTATTTCCTATATAAAATAAAATTAACAAAGCTGAAATAATGTCAGTTATGTAAAGTTTAAAAGAACCGTGGTGAATAATAAATTTTCATTGAATTAAATCGAGAAATTAAATCTAAATATATGGTTTTATCTCTGAGAAATAATATAAAATCATTTGTGCTTAGTATATAAAAGAGCAATTATATGTGTGTGTATGACTTATGATATTATGATTACGAAATTTTAATAGTAAAATAATGCTCCAAAAATATATGGGACATGTATAGAATAAATGTGAAATAGAGAAAACATAATGTTAAACGCAGTATTCGTGTAATTAAAAGTACGATTTAAACACATATAGATAGATCGATGCAATAATGTTTATCCCGCGTATGTGCTTTGTGGCTGAGTTCGTACATCAATGGAAATTTTTGAAAACAGGCATTTACATATCGGCTTAACACGATATAAGTACGCATTAATTCACGCGTTTGTGTAGACCGCTTGATTATTTTTTGCCACAGCTATATTACGGCGTACCTCTTTATGCAAGATGTTCGTTAAAACTTGAGTACACAGCACATACACACTTGCTTTTTTATAGCAAGCGTAAATGATCTTGTTATTCCTGAAAGATAAAATCACACTTATTATTAGATTTAATTTCCAGATTTCATTCAATAAAAATAGAATAAGCTTTCAACTTATATTTTCATATAAACGTATCCTGTATTATTACAGATTTTAAAAAAATTCAAAGATTTTTTGGATATTTTAGAATATTGTATATAATGTGTATTAGATGTGTAATAATGTGTATTAGATTATTATTTTTATATATCAAATATTTTCATTTTTAATATTTTATGATGCATCACAGAATCGTTGCGTGTAGCAAAGTTATAACGAGCAATATGAATATAAACGTTTTTTCTGTATGAGAGAGATCTTCCTTTCTAAACTCCGTCAATCAGAGACGAAGACCTAGGCTCGATGGAGCAATAAAGCGGCCACCTTCGACGCGGAAGGTCCCCCATGAATATGGATCGGGAAAGTAATCGCGAAATGAGCGATAGGACGGGCCGTAATAAGCCGCGGCGCGCGATTATGATGTAAGCCCGATTTATCCCGGGCGCATATAATGATCCCAGGAGCAGAGTGTGTGCGACGAAATACCTTCACTTTCCCACTTCTGTCTGTCTCTATTGTCCATTTGTTATTCTCCACTTGCTAGGTCCTCTCTCGTGATGCACGTTTGACCTTTTCGATGAAATATTTGCAAGAAATATCTGCACGCGCCATTGACGACCGTGATTTTAACGCGAGGTCGTTATGCAAATATCGCGAGGTCCTTCCAGTTTATTGCGTTCGTTTAAATATCGCAGACTTTACGTTCACGCTCTCACACGGTAGTCGATTAGCTGTGTGACTTTATCCTTCGTCTTTATCGCGCCGGACAAGATCGCAGATATATGAAGCAAATTAATCCGTGTTGCAACTGTATCCGAAATAATTATATCGCAATGTGATTTTAGAATTTTATTCCATATTTGCGCGTGAAATTTAGATGCATTGTAAAATTAAAATTAATTTTAACTTCTGGAATCAAACAACGTGCGATTTTAATTTAAATAAAATAAAGCTAAATTGAAATTTAATATTACAATTAATTTTAGGATCAAAGTTAAAGTTAATATTTCTTGATAAAATTCTATTTACTAATTCTATTGATAATTGTATTGATATGAATCCAAGTTTGGTTTGTCATTAAACCATAAAGGATTAAACATAAATTTTAGAGGATATTTTGAAAGCATCAGAAAACAGGATCTCTCTCTCAGAGTTCTGCATGAAAATTATACCGTAGAATGTAAAATAAGTGAAAAATCAATCGTCCGTAACGCGCGGCAGGACTTACAAGGCGAAACGGAAAAACGTAGGCGATGAATACATGCGGTTTCGTTCGAGCGATTTAATTTATTGCCGCCCTCGGAATTGTCACGTGTTTAACAGATAACGGCCTACTCTCCATAAGATTTGTGAGAGCGATTAAAACATCGCGCCGTCACTGATATGCATATTTGCAGGCCAATGTGATATTTTAATCCGAGAAAGGTCGTGCTGCGTAAAGGTATCTCGGCTCATCTCATTTTTCAAATATTACAAAGTGATTTTGTAATGCTATAGATTTAACAAAAAATGTTATAAAATATATATTTTCTATAAAAATATGTATCGTAGAATAATATTCTAGCATAACAATTTATGAAATAAAAAATTAAAGATAAAGAATCATTCGTGAACATCGTCAGAATATCGTGATTACTTTGCAATTTAGAACGCGACTATTCCCGAATTAATCGGAAATTAATTGATAAACACACCTGCATAGCAATATACATTCGTATATCGTATTATCGTCGAAGGAGATTTCAAAGATATCTTTTCGCTTGCGATAATTGCGTGTATGTGTTAATTGCTTTTTGACATGTGCGCGATGAGCTGCAAAAAATGGGAAATCACGTAGATATCGTGGATCTCCGTAATGCAGCTACTTGTTCGAACAACACTTTACGTTGTAAATATTTCTGACGATGGCACAGTTTCGCCGAACACAGCCTTATATGACGAGTCCATGATTCATGCGCATTTAACTTCGCAGAAGAATATTCAGTCTCGTAAAAAAGTATAGATATTTTCGATAACTAGATATTTAAATGTGAAAATATAAAATATAATTTTTTAAAAATTTAATAATGTCATTGCTATTTTTATTATTAAAATTGTATAAATTCTCTTTTATACATTTTATTTGAAATTAGTTTGTTAATTTTCATAAACTGCAATCTTGCAAATTTTTTGTATTCCCGTCTTTACTAAAATATATATTATTGATTATATCAATATGATGAGACAAGAAAATGTACCATATACATGTAAGAGAAAATGTTCATAAAAAAGTGCTCAAGAATATATATGAATATATCAAATTAAATATTTGTGTAAATTCTATATAGAATACGAGAAATGGAATGTCCATTAATATCTCATCGCAAACTAAGTAATTTGTTTACGGTACCGTAAGAAAGAACCGCAAAACGGTAGGACTGAAAACTGAGCTCGGCAGAGAATACTCGTTAAGTACTATTGCACCGGTATACTTACATATATATATGCATGTATATATGTATGTAAAAGCGTGTTGACGATGATTACGGTGCCAGGCGAGGGAACGATCGTTTCGTCTTTTGAACACGTGTGTCCTTATCAGCGGTCATTTTTCTCGCCGGCCACGATAACGGTTTTGCGAAGCGTAATTTCTGTCCGGGGACGGTCTCACGACCTTCGACAGCTTGACTTCAATATTTTTTTGCGCCTTCCCGCGCGTATATTGCTACCTACATAAGTTAATTAATATTAATATTACATAATATATAAGTAATTATACATAATATATAAGTTTTTGCAATACAATTTCTATTTTTAATCAACCTGCAATGTGTGATCTTTTGTTTAAACAATATATAAGATAAAATTCTGTTTAACTCAAATTAATCAGACAATAGAGTTTATCGATAACAAATTTTATGAAGAGCTATCAACTTTATTGCATCATTCTATAGAGACATTAACCTCTGCAACCATCATCTTCTTTCAAATTTGTAATTGAAATAATATATGTACGTATATTATATATTGTTTGCAATTATACATTTCGTTATAGTTCATTATAAATGGTCTATTTTTTAGCATCGTCGATAAGAAATTTATTAAAATTACATATTTATATGCATACTCTACCTTTATTGTGCGCGAAGTTACTACTTCTATATAAATTATATCAACTTCCACACAAAATTATGAATCTTCTAATGGCGAATCATACATACAGTGCCATCTTGTGTATGTTTCTGAAACTAAAAAACATGAAAATTTTGAATCGTGTAACAAAGAATGGAGCATCCACAAATGCAATTATATAGATTTACATATGCAAAGACTATATAACCTTTCAATTGAACGATATTTATGCAGACGTAAATTAATTCAAAATTGTTAATTTATTGTTCAGATCGCAAAGTGGAAAATTTCACGAAGAGCATTCGACTTCATTGCACTTCGTAGAAAGGCGGTTAATGTATTTTATGCGATCCATCATCTAATTTTAAGGGAAATTATTATATTATATGGTTGATTGCAATTACATATTTCATTATAGTTCGTCAATAGTCTATTTTTTATGATTGCCAACGAGAAATTATTTGAAAATATATTACCTTTATTGCATCTTGCACCCGACGTTTCTACCCCCTCATAGATTATATAGATTATAGACTACACAAAACAGCGAAACTATACATACAGCATCATCTCGCGTGCGTTTCTGGAAACTATCAATCATGAACAAACAAAATTTTGAATATATTACAAATGATTAAAAATCCATAATTATATAGATTTATGCATGGAAAAACTGTAATTTTTTAATTGAGCGATATTTATGCAAAAATAAATTAATTAAAAAATACAAATATACAATATTCTGGAATGAATTAAATTAAAAACGTAGAATTTTATCTTTTGTATCGTAATTGAATTATTGTATTACTGATTGCATATTTTACTTTTTTTCAATTTTTCGAGTAAAATAATCTTTCTGTTGGTCTCTATTGAATTTTTTAATTGAGAATTGAGAGAGAGAGAGAAAAATGTATCTTATTATTACAATAAACTACCCTGTAAACTATATTTTAATGATTGATAATCGAAAATAACAAATGCGCGGCAGTTTCAAGTAATCATAATTAATTATCATAATTAAATGTCAAAATTCCCTCACTCGTCTTCCCTCGCTTTGTACAATTACGGGATATTCATTAAAATTTTTCTTGTAATGTTAATTCGCGCAATTACAAAATGTTTCCGATTGCGAAACCTCAGCTCAAAATTTTGAATAAAAATAAATTACATGTATCGCGAAGGCCAGGATGTACCGCGTGGTTTTTGCTCGGCTGTAAGAGACTATATTTAGATTAAATTGTTATTTCAAATTTAAAGTATAAAATTAAATTATATACGTGGATTATATTTTCCAGTATCAGCAGTAATTTTTATCAGCATAATTAGCCACTTGACAAGCAATATCTACTTCCTAATTATTTTACTCTTGGGTGAGATTATGTTTGGACTGGATAGTTTCGGAGAATGGGAAGACTTGATATTGTACAAACAGGAGAATAGGGCTCTTATCGAAAAGGCTATTTGGAGCGATAGATTATGCTCGGATAATTCGGCTGAAATCTTTTTGATGAGACTTACTGACATCCGACACGTTGGTGTCTCTACAGAGATGGGTCTCTTTATCCTTCACAAAAACGGACAAACAATTACTCTTAGTATGAGAGGCTTAACTAGAGAGGAGATACAAAGTTTAAGGAGAGAAATTAACTATTTCTTGAACATGAGTCGCCTCGATAATCTCGACTTTTCCTTGATTGATCCTTCCAACCGATTATTACTCCCTTCCGATTCAGAGGAATATTTGCAAAATTTACCAAGAACGTGTCCACCTATTCCTAACGAACTTACTGCTTCGGACAATATCTTGGGAAATAGTAAGGCAAATCATCGGGTGCAACAGAATCTGAGTTATCCAACTGTAATGTGCGGAGTACGACTTAATAGTTGTCAATCAGCTAGTTTGAGAAGAGGTCCTTATACAGAAAATTCAAGACATCTTGATTATATTAAGTATACTAGAAATATTTGTACCCTTCCCAATCTGATAAAAGTTAACAAAGAGCATAATTAATCGAATATCTTTTGTTTATGAAAATGTATATGTGTGATATATTATACTGAGATTTATGTCTAATTCGTACTTATCAGTTATACAAATAAATTTGTATAACAAAACGAGATTTATTCTTTATGCTGCAATAAATAATTTATTTTACTAAATAACAATAACTCGTAAACTATCAAAGAGAATATTCTAAAATTTGATGCTCATCTCGAGTTACTAACAATCTGAATAGTATATATTATACATTCTATAACAACTTTAAAATAATTAATTAGATAATGCGTATTTAGCATATCATTTTTCATCATAATTGATATAGAATCTCTTATATAGTTAATTAAACAAGTTGCTTACAAGCACTTTCGATATCTGGATATTCATATTGAAATCCTATCTCTTTAACACGCTTTGGTATAACTTTTTGTCCTTCCAACATAATCTAAAGGAAAAACGTGAAATTATTAAATTATTACATTATCAAGATTATTGACTATACATTACTAACTTTCGCTCGTTCTTTGCTGAATAATATCTGCAGAACAAAACTTGGAAGAGGTATTACTGCAGGTCTTTTCATTGCTATTGCAAATGCTTTTGTAAACTCCTTATTTGTTATAAGCTGTTAACAGCGATGTGTATAATATATACTATATAGTAAAAATTTTTTTAATATAGAGAATGTTATAAAATATATATATTACCTGAGGCGCCACTCCATTTAATATACCATGCACATTGTTATCTTTGAGTGCAAATATAAACATATTAACTAAATCCGTGATATGTATCCAGGGCATGTACTGATTCCCAGTTCCTATCGGTCCACCCAAGCCAAGAAAGAATGGTAAATAAATTTGCTTGATCATACCACCGCTTCTTCCTAACACAACTCCAGACCTTACTGTCACTTGTCTAATATTACAATCTTTTGGTAATTTTGCCGCTTCCTCCCAATCGTGAGTAAGTCCTGATAAAAATAAAATAATTAATTTATAAATATATATATATATATATATATATATATATATATATATCATATGTTATAAATAAAAACTGAGATTCTACTTGAGAGGAAATCATAAGGTTCGCATTTGCTCTCTTCTGTATACACAGTGTCATTGGGCTTGTAATGAGCGACTCCTGATATAGTTGCGAAAACTGTAGCCTTGGTACTCTTTACAGCATCTGCTAGTGCCTTCGTCGTCTTCACCCTGCTATTCCTGACATTCTGCTTGAAGCCTGATGACCATCTTTGCGTAGGATCAAGTATATTTTGACCGGCAACGTTGATGACAGCTGATGTGTCCTCTGGTAGGCCACAGCGTTCTAAATCATTCTATAGATTTCACAACAGCCATATTTTGGTGGGTTCTTTCTCATTGAAAATTAAGACAATCGGTTATCATGTCTTACCCATGATATTCTATTCGGTCCTGGCATTCGAGAGATACACGTGCAAGACACACCCTCGAGGTTCAGCGACTTTATCAGCTGCGATCCTATGAAGCCAGTACCACCGCCTAGAAATATTATATAACCTTATTAGTGCAAGATTTGTTCATATCTTTTTTTCAACATAAATATTAAAAATCTAATAAATCAACAAATTACAAACGTATGCTCACCCACTACTACGTGTTTTAAAGCCATGTTCGAGGACAGTAGAGATGTTTTTACAATCTTATATGTCGAGGATTATTTTGAGAATCTCTCGCCGGTCGTGATGTAACGAACAGATAATATCTGTACATATATTGCATTAAAAGAATAGCATTATACGATCGATTTTAGGAATTATTTTAATCGTATGAGAGTATTTTAATTTATTTAGTACCTGTTTTATTATCGAACATGTATGTAGCTCTGTTACAAGAAATATAAATATAAATATTTTGTTTTACTAAATTAAACTGTTTTATCTACTATTGGTAATATAAAAATTTACTTTATCGATTATCGGTAATAAAAATCTGCTTTTTAGTTCCGCTAACTTCCGCAAGAATCGCTATCGATAGTTTATTGCAAATGAAAATGGCGTCCGCTTTGGAGAATCTGGAAACTCAACTGGAGCTTTTTATCGAAAATGTGCGACAAATACGTATTATAGTGAGCGATTTTCAACCCCAAGGGCAGAATGTACTGAACCAGAAGATGTGAGTATCCATATAACGAGTAATAGCTTTTGTATATTTGCATGTAAACACATTTTCATAAACTAACCTCTCGCAGTAGTATCATGTATCATACAACAGCAATGATATTATAATCTCTTTAATTACTATAAATTATAAATCATTCATAGAGCTGAGATACTAATAAAGGTACTATTTATGTGCACTCAAATTTAATTAATTATGATAATATTTTATGAATATGAACATATTTCTGATATATCAATATTTTCTGAATTAATTAAGTGGACATTCCACTCAAATAAGTGATTTCTTTTTCTAGTCAAAGTTTAGTTAACGGCTTACAGGAGATTGATAAGCAAAAATCCCAGGTGCAGGAAGTTCATGTGCCACTGGAAGTATTTGAGTAAGTTTGACAATATCAATGTTAGAATTAATATATATATATATATATATTATGCTAATTTTTTTACTGTAACAAACATGCATTTTTATTCCAGTTACATTGATCAAGGCAGAAATCCTCAATTGTATACCAAAGACTGTATAGAAAAGGCTCTGACAAAGAATGAACAAGTGAAGGGAAAGATTGATGCCTATAGGAAATTCAAGGCTAATATGTTGGTGGAGTTGAATCGAGTTTTTCCAAACGAATTAGCCAAGTACAGAGCAATTCGTGGAGACGAATAAGACAATCTAGTTTTATGGACCAGATTTTGACAAGTAAATGGTTCTTTATACAAGCTGCCACAATCTGTAACTTGTTTTCTTACAACTTTTCTATATTGGTTTAAAATATGTACTGTCTAAATATATTTAATATTCTTTTCTTGTATATATTATAAGTGTAAATATATATGCAGTATTTTTTAAAGATTAAATAAACTGATAAGTGATATAAAAAGTTTACAATTTGCATTCCTATATATAATTCAGTTAATTATTTATTAGATAGACATGCAAATTGTATTATTAAAAACAGTTATACTATGTTTTTATTAAGACAAAATTACATAGTTGCAATATGTATACCAAATTTATTACAACTGATGTATCAAGTGAAAATTAAAAAATTTCATTGATCTATAAAGATGCAAGTAAATTTAATAAAGCAAATCAATCGAAATAAAAGCGGTAAAATTATTTTGATTTCAACTTTTAATAAATGAGAAGAAAAATAATTAGAAAAATTTGTTATCATATCTTATAATAAAAAGATAAGATAATGATAATTGCGACCATCTGTTGTTGTGCCCATGTTAAGTATGCGATTCGCACGGTTAGCAATAATAACATATGTGTGCTTATTTTATAAACAGTTTTATAATTATCGTAATGAAATTGATGTAACATTTCAAGTGTGTTTAATGACCGGCAATCATAAATTCTCGCGTAATTCAAAGTTTGTGTAACTGATATGAAAAATGTATGAAATTATCGATAATATTCATGTTGTATAAATATTTTGTCAACGAAGAACAACTGAAGGAATATTTGCTTTCATTTATCACTGTATTATGTATATTCATAATTAAAAAATAAGTAATTTTAAGCTAAAAGTGAAATGCATAAAATATTGTCTATATTTACAGCGTTCCGATACAGCGAATAATGATTTTAATAATATTAATCTTAATCTTAATAATGGAGAAAAAATCGGTGAAAATTTATTGTTTAAATAGGATAGATTGTACAAGATATGATCTCTTTCCGTAAAGTATATATATACTTATTTACATATTGTATTTTCTTCTATTATTTTCAAACGATTGTATTCATCAAGGTGCAGCGAAATATAACATTCGCGATGCGAATCGACGTGCGTGAATTTTTCAAACATTAGAGACACCGAGAGGTTTCGCCCCACACTCGACTTTTCCCCTACCCTACGCAACGCGCGACATGAATATCATCCTCGAGCCAAGGATAAAATCATTTCGCGGACAACAATCGAGTCTTCGACGGACAGTAGCCCTGGCTACCACTTTAAGCGGCATGTTCGCGTTACTGATCGTCGTCCTCGCATTTGGCGGCCTTAATCAGGCCCAGGAATACACGTGAGTACCAAATTACAAATTGGTATTTTAACTTCATCGATTTCAAAATCTTTTCGATACCATAAGTGCAAGAGAAAATACATCCTACATTGATTATCGCGCCGCTATTGTTTCGTATAAATACAGAGATAAATATATCAATTAAAATCGGTAATATACAATTAATAATATAATTTTTGATCGAGTTCTGGATCGTTCGATTTTTGGTACCTAGAGCTTTTATTTCGCTATTTCTATTTCTTTGCATATATATATTGTACATTATTTAAAGCGGTCAGATAATAAACCGGGTTCAATCGCGTGAGTGCTTATTAGTTTTAGGTAGAAAGGTATAATTCACTTAACATACGGTGAAAGCAACAGGTGGGTGGATTCATTGAGAAATAGACCGCATCGGTCGCTCCGAGGTTTTTCCGAGATTTCAGAGAGATATTTGAAAGATGATTGAGTTTACTGTTTTTTTTTCCGCTATTCTCGAGCTTGGATGCACATTCATAATCTGCATTTACAAATCCTTTCACTATACAGTACCGTCATAACGGTGAAATATAATTTGCCATTCCTTTTCTTGACAATAGGAATTAGTTTTTGCGTTTGAAAAATTGTAGATAAAATACATTTATCATCTAAAGTAATTTTCCACTCAGAAAAATCTTTTGACAATTATATTATTAAAAACTATAGACGCGATAAAAATAGAATACTATCAAACTTAAAAAAATATTTAAAAATAAGTATTTATTTGAAGTTTTAGAAAATAAGTATTTATATGAAGAATTATTTTTTTGAAATTTGATAGTACCTTAAAAATGTCGAGATTTTATAATTAAAATTATTCTTAAGTGAAAAGAAATTTTTTCTACAATAAAATAGATTTTTTTTTAGAAGAATGTAACTCTTGTGACTGAAAAATGTTGTAAATATTGTTCTCTGAAACTTAAAAATGATTAAATAGCATGACATATACCATTATACATTACAATTCTTTCAATGATATATGGTCTTGAATTTTGTTTTTCAAATATGAGAGCGCACGATTAGCATAATTAGCTATGTCGTGTGTAATTTAAAATCCTCTATTAGAATTTCACGAGATTTGAATACTTGCTCATTATTATTTCTATAAATGATCTTGGATCATTTAGATATACTTTTAATAACATTAACGCGAACATTGATGGTGGAATAAAAGAAATATAAAAAATGATTAATTGTGTTCTCTAATTATGCCAAGCATTAATGATATTAATAGAGAGCAATATTAATTCTAATTATATAAAAATATATTTAATATATATACTTAATTTCTCTGTTTTTTTTCAAACAACAATATTAATTAAGTTTTGGATATTGCAATTTTATGCAAATTTTAATTTGCATTGCTATAAAATAATATTTCAGTTATTTCATCACACAAACATAAACTAGCTGATTAATTATATCAACAAGGAACGTCATCAGTGCCATATCAGACATGATTATTGTTTTTATTTTGTTCCTATTATCTCAAAAAAAAAAATGAGAGATTGGTCTTTATACTTATATATATATATATATATATATATATATATATATATATATATACATATATTTTATAATAAAGTTGTTTATGTTTCTTAACTTATAAACATCAAAATATGTGATTTAGTGATTAATAAAATTATCATCAATATATAGAGCGCTGCATCAAAAAAATTGAAGTTACGAGAAAAGAAAAAATGATAAAATCACTGCTTACATAAAATCAACGCGATCAACCAATTATCAATTTATAAACTGCTTATAAAAAAGAGAATTTTTCGCAATATATATCGAAGCATTCGGACAAGATAAACGTCGATATTTTTTCTCGAAATCGCAGCTCTCCTTGGCACTACAAGTGCGATGCCGGTCTCTGCAAGAAGGTACCGATCACGGAACAGGACACCAACCCGCTCGCTCTCAGCGTATGCCAATTATTCTGCGGCCAAGCTGGTACCCTTTGGCCAAAACCCACGGGACACCTCTCCATCGGCAGGACCGTGGTACCTCTAAATGTCGAGAGCATCGAACTGACTGGGATTTCCACGCAGACGGTAGTCGGAAATCTTCTTCAGAGGAACGTGGATCGTTTGAAGGATGGTGTGACGAAACTCAGTGGTCCCGTGACCCCGGTGACCTCGAATACCGCTGCAAAGCTGGTGATTCGCTTCAATCAAGGACTGAATCTCAACGATACCAAGCTGACCTTGGACACTGACGAGAGCTACACTCTCCGAGTTGCTACGGTCAACGGACAGGTAAGTTGTAACAAGAGAAAAAGGAACAAGAAATGTGTGTTGAATAAATTTACTTGGGGTTCTTATTAAAAAACGTCGACCGATGTTTCTGTATGGATTGTCCAACTGTAATTTATGCGTTGTCATATATTCAAATCTCGAAAATAGAACTATGTTCGTGCTTCTCGTACTAATAAAAAAGTTAGACTAAGAAAAGATAAATGAGATTCAACACAAAAAGATGGTATTAAATATAAACCTGCACGGTGACGTCAAAAGCTGAAATATTTAATTTTGTGAATAAATTAAATATAAAACCCTTTTATTGTTTCAAGCTTTTTATTTCAAGCAGAAACGAGTTTTTCGTTGTGCATATATTTAGCTGTTTGACTACATATACATATTTAAATTAAAATAAAATTATTGCATGATGAATACACTTCATTCTGCGTATTGTTATCCTATATCTTTCGGCAAAAAACTGTGAAGAAAATATTTAAAAAATTAAAAATTGTGTACATATTTAAATTTGCTTCTAATATACATCCACAAAAGCTTAAATTTATTAAAATAAATTTAAGGTGGAGGCCGACATCACGGCAAACACATACTTTGGAGCTCGACATGCCATGGAGACCCTTAGCCAGCTGATCGTCTTCGACGATCTGCGCAATTATATTCAAATAGTCAATGATGTGTACATCGTGGACAGTCCAAAGTATCCCTATCGTGGAATCCTTCTGGACACCAGTCGAAATTACGTTGACAAAGAGACGATTCTGCGAACGATCGACGGCATGGCCATGTCCAAGCTGAACACATTCCACTGGCACATCACCGACTCGCACAGCTTCCCTTATGTCAGCCGAACGTGGCCCGACTTCGTCAAGTACGGTAGCTACAAGCCAACCAAGATCTATACATCCGAAATGATCAGGGAGATCGTCGACTACGCCCTGGTCCGAGGTGTCAGGGTCCTGCCGGAGTTCGATGCACCTGCACATGTCGGCGAAGGGTGGCAATGGGTGAGCGAATGATAATTAATTTGCATTTCAAGACTTTTGATGTGACTTTTATAATAGATAGATCCATGGGCGTCTGCAGGGGAATTAGTAAAAAAATTAAGAATTTGATTTCCTTTTAAATAAACACTGGAATTTATTTGCGTATTTAATATAAAAAAATGAAAACAACAAAATAGAGTAAAAAAGTAAAATGTTTAAAATTAAAAAAAATTTAATTATGCTTTTTTCTGGAAAAAAAATTGCGGACATCTATGAATAGATCTCTCATAAATAATCCAACATATGATTCATTTCAATTTGAAGGAAAGTCATCGGCGAGAGACTTCTTCACTATTGTGCAAAAAATATTAGTTAATATGTAAATGTGAAAAAATTGCATATATATTTTTAATTCGATATAAATAGAAATTTTCATGAAGAGGGATTTTAGTCGAAACACACATTTTGTAACAAAAATTACATCCTCCCCAACACAATTTTATCTCCAATAATTTTATATAGTCAACTGAAAATTTTATGCAATTTGATCAGTGAGTAACAAATATGTTTTTTGATAAAGTAAAAAAAATGTGGATTTACACATATTTAAGATAAACGTAAAGAAAGAATCTTGTCTAACTTGTTTTTTGAAATTACATTAATTTTCCTTATTTGTTTGCATTTTAATGATTAAATGACATCGCAGATTAAACAGTCTGCTAAGAATGAATATGTGTATTTGCACATAAATCCTTAATTAAGAGATGTCATGTATATTGTTCAAGCACAGATGTTGTTTAAAATAATCTTGGATTATTTTGTTAAACATTCTGTCAAGCACACACTTTAATCAATATCACATTACATATGCAACAATAATATAGAGCAATGCATACATAAATGTATTTAACGAAGTCATAAAATAAAATAATGATAAAATATATAAATGTATATAAAATAGATAAATATACAGTATATATACATACATACCCAGATAGCCACAGTAATTATCAAAACGATGTCATAATAATTACTGTGGCTATCTGGGTATTTATATAAGACAAATATTTTACATTATATATAAAAGTTAAAGATCAAACTTAGAGATCAAACATTTAAAATTTGTTTGCTGTAAGAATTTTATGCAAAAATACTCGAGATGTGTGTGAGAATTATACCTAAAATCTTTATTATAAAAAAAGATATATTTTTATTAAATATAATTTATTATTTTTCTTCATCTTCATGCAAGGTTGATGACAACGCGACAGTTTGTTTCAAAGCCGAGCCCTGGCAGAGCTATTGCGTGGAACCACCATGCGGTCAGCTGAATCCTACCAGCGAGAGGATGTACGAGGTTCTTGAAGGAATCTACAAGGACATGGTAGAAGATTTCGAACAGCCAGACATCTTCCACATGGGTGGAGACGAAGTGAATATCAACTGCTGGAGATCCACGAATATCATCACCAACTGGATGCTGAAGAAGGGATGGGATCTCAGCGAGAGCAGCTTCTACCTGCTGTGGGACTACTTCCAGGAGAAAGCTCTGGACAAGCTGAAGACCGCCTACGGTGGTAAAGAAGTCCCGGCAATCCTGTGGACTAGCGGCCTCACTAGCGAGGAGAATATTCAGCATATCGATCCAAAGAAATATATCATTCAAATTTGGACGACTGGCGACGACGAAACTATCGGCAGACTGCTGCGCAATGACTTCAAAGTTATTTTCTCAAATTACGACGCTTTGTATCTTGACTGTGGGTGAGTTAATGATTACATACTTTTTCTTTTTTGGAAAGAATTGAAGAGGCTTAAAATATGTTTAAATATTGCGATTGATGTATTACATGATAATCTTTAAATAAACTTAGAGAGACTTAATATCTATAATAAAATACTCTAAATACTACTTTGAAAAAATGAGTATTAATAATATACATAAATAATTAATATGTAATTTTTTTTTATATATACATTATTTTTCATATATATATATATATATATATATATATATATATATTATATACACAATTAAAATATATAATTATGATTTATATGTTAAAATGTATTCTATAAATACAAATCAGATGTTTAAAGAAATTAAGCATCAAAATTTTTTTTTTTTCATAGATTTGCAGCTTGGGTAGGCGAGGGTGTCAACTGGTGCGCGCCGTATAAGGGCTGGCAAAAGATTTACGAGAATTCTCCATTACAGATCGTTAATAAACAAGGATATGGAAACAAGAAGCATCTTATTCTAGGTAAAATCATCATTCAAACTTTCACAAAAATGCTATAAATTATACATATATATGTCATGAGATAAAACATCGCATTGAAATAATTATTGTCTTTTATATATCATATGTAAAAAATTTGTATAATATTATAATACTTGTAAAAAAATACACTTAAAAAATATACGTCAATATGTAAATCAGATTGATCGAATCTGAATTTACATAAAAAATATGATTTACTTCATAATATTAATATCGCGAGTAATTAGCGAATAATTGGTGGTCTAATACAGGCGGAGAAGCTGCACTTTGGACCGAACAGGCGGATAGCACAGCCACCGATTCGAGATTGTGGCCGAGATCAGCCGCAATGGGTGAGAGATTGTGGAGTGAACCGGATTCCAGTTGGCATCATGCCGAGCAGAGGATGTTGAGGCAACGCGAGAGACTCGTCGAACGTGGAATCGACGCGGATAGCTTGCAACCCGAATGGTGTTTGCAAAATCAAGGCTCGTGCTACGCATAAACTCTGAATATCTCTTTGCAACCTCATTATTTTTATATACATGTGTGTTTCAAGTTAGAATAAATCACTATTTTGACCTTGTCAGTTATTCGTTTCTTCCTCGTAGAAACTTAATTGACGTTGATGGTTCTGGCCTTAGAATTGGATTTCCCGTCATTACAATCGATTGCAATAAAGGCGTGTATTATTGCGTAAAAGTAAAATTCCAAAATTTTTCTAAAAAATCTGTGATTTCCATTTAACGAATCCAAATTAAAAAATTCAAACAAAAATCATTTATAAGTAAGTTTGATTCGATTAATATATATTCTATGTGCATGTCAAAAAAGAATTTATATATATCTTATTCTATAAAAATTAAATTGATAATGCTAATAATAAAATAAATATTATCATCGTATTTTTATTAGTATATATAATTCACAATATCTTCAAACTGAAGAAAGGCAATAAATGCCGTATAAAGCAATTTCGTACATTAATCATATATCAGAATTGATTGAGTTCTCGTTGTTTCTCTCGATAGAGAGATAAAATTGTGTGTTTATATCCAAAATCACATCTGCGTATGTTGCAGCTGTCAAAACGAATCATAAATATATAGGTATATATGCATATATACGTATATATACTGATAATCTTTATTTGCAGGTACGATGTAACGTTGTTTATGATCATTGATCATAAGTCGAAAATTGGATCGAGTTGATGCTTAAAATTTATCTGCAATAATTTCGTAAAATATCTTGTAAAATACACAGGTATGAGATCATGTCTCACATTTCTAAATAGCATAAAACTATTTTCAGAACACAATTAATTACTCTTTTGCCACTTCCTCCGGTTCCATTAAGTGCAGGAAGAAAACATCGAGAGGATAGGAATCATGAATACATCCGTATCGTGCCGATTATTCATTCTTTAAATAGCAGAGACGATATCAATATATTCTTGAATTGTTCCGACTAATTATGACAGATTCCGACAAATGCAACTTCTTATTAGTCTCCTTTTTTTCCACGCAAGGAAAATCTTATTTATGAGTTAAACAAATAAACCTAACATCCATGAACATTTCACATATTAACAGACAGATCCTTAAAATTCGGGGGAATCATTTTTTTTTATACCTTTTTCATATTATACGTTCAAACAACTTAAGCAGAATTCTACTTTCTGCAAGTCCGATTTTTCTTTATGGAAAAGTTTGTGTTCCTTCTCACGAGATAAAATTCGATTCGATCAATAATTTGTATAATTCACCTTTAATAATTGTCCTCCTTGTCATCGAAGGGCGTTTTCACGAAGTATGTAGTGAGAGTTCCTTTGCCCTTCACGTACGTAGGTCCTCGGCAAATGAGTTCGTACCCGGCGTCGATGAGGATCTTGGCAGTGTCCTCGGTGACCTGAAGCTTGCCCATCTCACCGCAACTGTCCATTCTCGAAGCGACGTTTACCGTGTTTCCCCAAATATCGTATTGCGGTTTTTGAGCACCCACAACACCCGCTATCACCGGGCCATGATTTAAACCTATGATGACAAAAGATGTTTGATTGTTAATAATATTTTTAAATTAATTATTTTTTTTGTTGCTATAATTATTTTTAATTTTACATAATAATTTTCAATATACTCACCCATCCTCAATTTGAATCTCTGGAAGGAATCTCGATTGATTTGATCTAAGATCGTCATAAGCGCAATGGCAAACTCGACGAGTACGATTACGTTGTGATCTTGTTGCTTCAGTAAGTCCTGCATGAAATTTATAACATGGAATAATACGAATATTAGTTTAGACCTTCCATTTCAAAATATAAAAAAATTGTTTATCCACGTTTAATTATTTTACACATTTGAAAATATTTTATTCAAAATTCTTTATATTAAAAACGGACTTTGTAAAAAAAAAAGAAAATAATAAGTTACAAGATTCTGATTTAGAACTCTTACCTTGCTATCACCGTCCTCCTTTCCCGGACTTAGGCCAGACGCCAGCATGTAAGTACTGCCTATCGTCTTGATCTTCTCGATCCCTGAGAATTTCGGCTTGAGTAAGAGTTTGTCGAAATCGCAGATGATCTCATTGAGTAAACGCAAACATTCAAGGCCTTGCTTGTTTATGTCGGTTTCGTCATAAAATTCCTTGTAATTTGGAATCGACGCGAACATTACAGCAATGCTACTGTATCTTTCATGATAGAGTTCCTGTTAATTTAAGACATAATAATTATTCTTTCTCTTAGCATCGCTATACACATTTATTGTTAGAATCGGATGATAAATTATTTAATATAAATTTGGAAAACAAATTTGCTGGAAATAATTTACTGAATAATAATTAATAGTATCACATTTATCCAATCTTAATAATTATTATAGTTTGCTAAAAGTATAATTTATCATAAAATGTTCTCATATATATATATATATATATATATATATATATATATATATATATATATGTGAGAAATATTAATAAATATTTAGAAAAGAAAAAATAATATGTTTATGTTTCCTATAAGCATAATTTAGATATTTAGTCTTATAATAAAAATTAATCAAATTAGTCATGTACCCGATATGGGTCGCAAATTATTTGTAAATTTTGATAATTATGGTGTATAAATGTATAAATTAAACAATTTGTTGATTAATCTAATAAATGATCCATTTATAAAAAAATTATATTAATCTTATAGATATTACGATGGCAATAAGAGGATAAAAGGTAAAAATTTTTCTAGAACTCTTACTTGAGTAGCCCTCGTGGCTAAAAAATGATCGGCGACATGAGCCGGCAGTATGTTCTCTAGGAGAATTTTATTAATACCCCTCATGGTCTCCACCTCATCCTGCTCGACTCTCAGCTTACTCTTCCACAGGATATCCATTCTGGATGTATATTCCACTTGCCGATCGAGAACGTGAAGTATCAGACTGATGAGCGCCAGTAGGTATCCTACTTGCATCAGATAATGAACGCCGTAAAATCTGCGGAAAACGCGACGGAAATTCACTATAACGGAGTGCTTTTCAGCGAGTTTGCAATTTATAACACACGTGCTCGAGTTTCGAGAGCGTCATATCACTCACTTTATGTCAGAATTTTCGTAATATAGTTGGATGATTGGTGCTTGAGAGAAGACTACGAGTATTACGCCAACGGATAGAAGCATTACATTCAATTTCAGCAAGAAACCAACCCTCAAGTGGGTCCAGCCGATCACCAGTGCTATCGCCGAGGAATACACGTACAACTGAAAATGTCATTTATTGAGCAAAATACAAAAACGTGTTTTTTTTTTAATATAATAGAATAGAATATGTTGACTAAAAATATGAATCGATAAAAACCTAACTTTCAATTGATGAATAATATATAGAATCGTTTAAAGATATAGAAGCATCCCTAAATTATTTATTATTAATTTATTATTATTAACTTTAAATGTAATTATGAGTTGCTGAAAACGGTGCGTGAAAGGATATTTATTACATGCTACAATTTTATCTTTTTTTCATCAAATAACATATTACTTTTAGACATACGCACTGGTACGATGTATCCAGCAGTTTGATCGACTTCGATCAGACTAATGACTGATGATGCAATAGCCAATAAGGCTGTTATTAAGTACACCGTTATTCTAATTCCACAGCTGAGTGCAATACGACTTGTTGTTTCTTCGTCATTGTTGATGTCGACTTTACCGCTGAACCACGAAATTGCGGCAAGTATAATTAGAGATACTAAACCGGCTGCAAAGCAACCATAAACCGCGATGCTTCTGTAAATAAAAGACAAAATCAAAATTTTTTTTTAAAATATTGATGAACATTTTTTTTATTTAGATACCATTATATCGATAAGAGAATTTAATATATAATTAATAGAGATTAATTATATAGCGTTGGTAATTTATTAATACTATATAAAAACTTATTATTGGGTTTTAAATTTGCTTAAATAAATGAAAAATAAATAAGAGAGTAAGTTATTTTTAACTGAAATAAATATTTCTAATAATATAATAGTTTTATATTATTTTAGTTGCAAGAAGATAAAAGTTCTTAAAAATATCATACTAGATGATTTTATGTTGCGGTGCTTTTCGGATATATCGGTTTTACAAGTTTCAACGTTATATCGTCAGAGTATAATATTCCTGTGAAGTTGAGTATTAAACATTTGATTAGCTTGTTACAGGAACTCGCCTTGGTAAATAAATAATCTGGATACAGAACATGATTGTGTAAACCACGCTGGAGGCCACGACGTACCAAGGGTATTGTTCATCTCTCTGCTCTCGATATAGCTGCTCCTGATTTTTGTCTTTGAACCAATAAGTAAAAGACGACATCTCCTCATTTCCACCGCACCATTGTCTATAACGCACAAAAATCCAAAAACTTCTATATATTGAACAAATTGTATAATTGATTTAATTTCATTTACAGCATAATTCTTATTTGTTTGCATCAAGACCATATCTACCATATCTATTTGGAGAATTATATTGAAAAACATGAATATTGTTACACTTAACGAAGAGAAGAGTGACATAATGCAGAGAATAATTGTTATTTTGAATCATTAAATTTAGCCATTAGTGGCCAAATTTAATTGTGCTTGCGATATGCAAATCAACACGTATTGTACGCGATATCAAATTAATGATCCTAATTTGATTCGATATACTGACGTAAATCAATTAAAATATGTGTAACTCACTGCGTGTCAAAGCAGCTGACATTGTTCGCCAATAGATTCGATTCGATCATTGCGATGCTCTGTCGAGAAAAAGAAGCAACGTATTTTTTGAAATTACTTCATTAAAATTACTTATATAATAATAAATAACAGCTTACTGTTAGGCCAATATTTTTCGCTAATGTTGCTTCTGCTATATTGGCGAAAGGCTTATCCGCACCCCAACATTCCACATATTTTGTCATTTTGCTACTAGGCCTCGATCTATTATAAAATATATTATATATACATATATCGGTAATATTATATTAATAAAAATCTGAAATAAAATTTTAAATAATATTATTCATTCTTTATAAATATACAAAATATATATTATTTAATAGTAATTTAATTTGCGATATTCAAATAATATCGGTAAAATATTTTGTTCAAGAATGATATGTGTATATTATAAATAAACAAATATTGAAAATATTGCAGTTTTTCGTTTGTGTTCTATATGTCAATCATACAGCCAAATATCAACAAAGTTTTTACTCTTACAACATCGTCCTTTATAATGTTGATATTTTTTGCATGAACTATAGTTTTAATTAGAATCAAATTGAGATTTTGTAGAACGAAATATACCTGGAAGGTATTGGTCCAGGTCCGTGTATGCGATTTCCACCGTTTTCCATTCCATTTTCCTCTCGGTTTTTCTATAGAGAGCAAGAATATAAACACAAATTTGCATCTTCTTTGTACTAGGAAATAATATGTTATGTTTTATTCGCATTTAAAGCGCAAGTGCGTTAAAAATATAAATAATATATGTATATACTATATTATTTTAAAAAATTTTTTAAATAATATTAAATCTTTATTTCCATATAAAATCATTTATCGGATATATATCTTGTTAAAAGTTATTTTATTGCAAAAATATGACGAGTGAATTTCAAATAACAGAAATGAATCATTGTGTTATCAAATACGGCTTTGCATTTAAAAATAATATAAATATGAATAATGCGTTCTGCAATAAAATTGCAATTATCATAAAAAAATTTTTAAAGACGTAGGGAAAATTGAAATCTATCTTTAAAACTCTAGTTTAGCCAGAAGAATGGAATATCCTCAGATAAGATTCGAATACCGGAAAAGACATGAATAAATTCGCGGATAGACTTAGCAAGCTTTAAACAAGTTTTTAACGAGCTCACGCCGGGATATTTATCGAGGCGATAAACGGAGTATTATGATCCAAACTTCATTCATATAAAGAGATAAGATGCGGGCAATTTACTTGAATTTTCCGCTTCACGAGTAAACTTTGCCGTCACTTTATGATGGATTATTCGCCGGTGTTCGCGGAGATTTTCTATTCTTTCTTAGAAAGAAAATTATCCGAAAATCGTCCATTCGTTCAACGAGGTAATTCTTGCGGATATTTTCTTCATACGTAATTCGATCAAGAAATAAATGGCATTATTTTTCGAAAGTTTATAGAAATAAAAACTTTCTGTTGAAATTTTATGAGAATTATTTAATATTGTTATTTATACATATATAAAATTCAAAGACCGATTTAAATCGCATATAATTTTTGCAATAATTTTACATGGCAAGATAAAAAATGCACGATAATTAATATTTATTTCTAATTATTGCCATCTATTCGACGCGAAAAGCATTTGCTATCTTACAATTTAAATTATAGTGCTACTGCTGCAGTATAAATCGCCTGTAATTCAATTTCCGCCTTCAATGTCATTAATTAGTTCGCACAGACGAGGATAAAGTACGTACTGCTATAATAAAATGAGGATAGATCGTGTGTACGTTCGGCAATGCCGTTTTCAGTAAATTAAAAAATTAAGCGCAACAAAATGAAAAAAAGACGTTTCTAATTATAAATTAAGAAACAGAAAGAATTAAGGTACTAGAAAACGCATTTCTAGCTATGATAAATTCTCTTACCTTGGGTGGCACGATAAGAAAAGTTTCTATTTTGTGTTGAGCGAGATAACTTTCCCGAGATCCTCCATTACCTGATTCGACCTCAAATCGATCGCCCAGTTGTAATAAAGTAGCTTTCGTTATATGCACTCTCCTAAAGATTGAAAATAACTGCTTTTAGTATAATATGCAGATAATAATTACTTCTTAATATATTTATACACGCTAATCAATCATCATCTTGTGAAAAAAAACGTTGACCACGTTGATCTTTGATGTACGACGCATCAAAAAATTGTATACTCTCATCTAATCATTATTTTGATATATTGTATAATAAAATATTATATATAATATTATATTCTTTTTTAGTATAAATTTTAATTTTGTATGTTACGCTTGTTCTGTAAATATATAATTTGTATGGTATAAGTTTATGTATATGAACTTTAATTTTAATTTTTGTATTTAATTTGTAATTTTAGACTTGAAAAGGATCTAAACCAAATGTCGAAACGTAGTCTGGTTATAATTTTTATGAATTGTTAATTAACAAAAGCATTGAAGCCAGTTGGGTCGTTATAATAATTTTTTAATAATAAAATATATTTTTAATGTGCAATTTCGGTGTTTCGTGCAACTCTAGCAAAAAGAATAAAACATAGAAGAAAAGCCTCACAAAGCTCATAAGCTTCGTTTTCAAAATTGTTTAAGAAAAATGTCCCTAATATCAATTTTAAGTGCTCCGCTTTAGCTATAAATTTTATCGAAGTGCCGCACAGGTGAGGAATAATAACGGGTCGAGAAATGCACGATAGCATAAATCGTCTTACCCAGGCAGACCGCCGCTCTCCATGTGATTAGCCAGGGTCACGTCGTCGCTCCAGACGTCGAATTGCCATTTCCGCAGCCCGAGAACTCCGCACAGCACGTTCCCCGTGTGAATCCCTATCCTCATGTCGACGTTGAAACCGGTGGCCTCGCGTACAAATCTACGTGCGAAGAGATATAATTCGCGAATATATACCACTTCGTCCTGCACTTACGCGACCACTTATTGCTCACTTCTCCCAGTAAATTCGACGATTGCCCGAACACGTGTTTTCTTTATTTACTACGTGACTCGCGTTCCGAAATAATAATCAAAAAATAAAAATACAAGTTTCCAGGGTCTTTCCAATTCTGCGTTTCAAATCTAATTATTACGTTTAAATATTTACAATTGTGATTCTTGATAAAAAATGATGGATTTAACATGAGAATTAGCTAAATGACTTTTTAATTAAGTTTAAAAACTGTAGCAAGATTAGCTGTCTGTCGTTAATTAATTATTGATTTTGAAGAAATTTTTTAATTGCATGTCGCGATAAGTACATCTGGCGAAAAATACATATATTGATTTTTAATTATTATGAATATGTACTTAGTAAAATTATTGTATGTTTATATTAACTATATGTATATTATTAATGATATACTCCGAGATTTAAAAATATTATAATCTAAAGAATTTCTGATTTGTTGCACTCTAAAACTTGTTATTAAAATTTAATTAGATATATCAAATATATCAAATAGCACGAATTTAAAAAATATAAGAACTCTGAAGAATGAATAAGCTATTAAAATTATGAAGAAATAATAAAAAGACAGAAAAAGAAAAGGAGAGACAGAAGGTGAAAGCAGCGGTTTGCTTTGCTCTATTCCATAATTAATGCGTAACTAAGCGACATTATATCAATCATATAATCGGAACTGAGCGTGCTAAATTATCGCAATTTCGATTTGCGAACAACGCCATCGGCAAGCCACAAGTGTATAATTAATAAAACGCAATATGCGATCAACTATAGAGATGTAGAGCATTGAGATATCAACTATTATTGACAAGGAGTACAAATAGTTATAATTGTGTAATAATAACCGCATAAACCGACATAACGTATCTTCTATTACTTAATGCTTTCCTACGAAAGTAATTTATGATATCAGAAAATTATTCCGAATCTTGAGAATAAATATTATGTATATTAAAAAATTTAATTGTTTTATTACTATGTTTTCAATAATAAAATTAAATATTTTTTATAAATTTGTACATAAATTTGTCAAAGAATAATTAAGTAATTATAATTAAGAAATCTATTTTTTCTTTCTTAAATTTTTTTTCTAATTTAATGATTACTTGAAAATTGAAGATATAAGAGAAAATTGAAAATACAAGAGAAATGTGGAAAAAGAAAGACGCCACATCAATGTAACATCGTAACATTCCATGTGAAAAATTTCATAGGAAAAATTTTGTAATTTCTTCTACAAAAATGTAACATACTACTGCAATTATTTTCCATGTTTTTTTACATTATTCAGCTTCGAGCAACAATTTAAAAAAAAATTAACAGGGAAAAGTGTACGTAACGAGCTGTCGCTCGTTAGTAACGTGCTTTAATTCTCTGCTGTATTTTATTTTACTCTCACCTGATAGCATCAATCATTTGCAGTCCCATGTTCACGCAATTGTAAGCATGATTTGGACGGGAAACCGGAAGTCCGGAGACACAGTAATAACAGTCGCCTAAAATCTTGATTCTCATGCACTGATTGTCCTAAAAATCATTAATTAATTTATCACACAATATGTCCTAAAAATTATATAAAAATTTAATTCGCATTTAAATGATTACCAACGGTGAACAAATTAAAGCAGAGACAAATCAAAGAAAAATAATATATTGTTTAAATTTAATAATTTTTTAATAATTGTCGGAATAATCTGTGTTTGCATTCTTTTATCAGATGCGTATAAAATTTTTACATTCTGTTCAATACAAAAGTTTTATTGTATATTGCAAGATACAACAATAATAATATATATTCCTCATAAATACTCATGTTCTAGTAATTCTTATCGTTAGCTAACAACAGCAAAATGCGAACAAAATAAAAGCCATAAGTTTTTATATTCCCATTATAGAATCAGAGACTTAAAGATAATTTTTGAAAATAATATTTATTTATATAATTTGTTCATTTATATATAAATGTTTCGAAATAATTGATAAATTCTCTTCTACATAATATTAATGATTTTTATGAATTTCAATATCTGTTTAATTAGCATTTCACTGTCAATTTAATTAACGTTTTGTACAATAATTTCTATTATAGTGCTCTAATGAATTTCTTGATTCTACCGCAAAATCCGTGTTTCGTTACAAAAATGTTCATTTTCAGTGTAAAAGCTATTCATTACGAGAACGCGATGGTGATTATAGAACTTGTTAATTAATTGTCTCTTTGAGAGAGTCTACTCCTCCAGAGGAGATCAGTCGTTCTCTTTTCTTTAGGTAGACCCCGGAGTATCCCTGCGGCAATTTGCTTGCGTAGATAGGTAAATACAATCGCAAAAGGCGGAAAATGAACAGAAGTATTCCCGATGAAACTATGATAGCCTCGCGTATATAAATTCCATCCATATAAATGGAATAAAGTTTTCCCATCTGCGGTATTGCTGTTCGGCTTGTCGCGAAATGAATATCCCGAACACAATCGAGTTCCGAACTGCAAAAAGTTGGGAGCCCATCCGTTCGGAAAAAGCTCTACATAATATATGTTACGCCTCGTATTGAGGCAAAATAGCCTCGCAGGATTCAGAATATCGAGAATAAAGTTTGGAATTTTTACGCTCGATTTACTATTTATCTTGAATCTGACCTGATCTAGACCGGTAGTTAAACTATGATTCGATCTAATTCGAACCTATCAAATCCACGAGTTCGATCGAAAAAGAGTCCTGTGTCCATCATCTAAGATGGCGTTAAAGATAAAAATTCAGGAAAAGATTTTTAGTTTAAATCTAATATATGTATTTAAATATACGCGAAATGATTGTTTGGATTTATTCAAAGATGCAAAAATAAACAAAGCTTATCTTATGACAATATTTTGTTGAAGTTTATAATTTTTTATAATAGATATTAATATATAATATGGAATTAAAATATGAAACCGTAAGGAAGAGTTTTCAAAGATTTTTCGTTTCTAAATTGTGTGTGTAATCGATTTAAAGCTTAAGAAATTTTTGCCAAAGATTATTATCTTTCTCTTACATTTTCCACCCCATTGTATGATTCACCTATATATTTACGCGCACGTGACTTCTTTCTATTCCTATCTATTCTTCCTCCTCTTCTTATTTAATTTGATTTTATCAACCATGAAATTCAATGAAATGTTATCGAACGAAAAATCGAAATTCACCATCATCATACAAATTGCGATTTCTTATTGTTGCTACATTGAAAAAAGCGCAAAAAAAATGTAAATTAGCTTTTAGATATCTTCCATCTCTGATTTCCTTCATCGTGTTTTATTATTATAATCTAATGTTGTGTAAACTATGAATACAGTAAATATTTGGCATTTTATAGTCAATATTTAATGATATAATTATAACCGACAATACTATTTCAATTCTATGTTAAAAGATAATTACCCTGTTTTTTTAGTGGGATTTGATTATTTATTTGGAACAATGTTTAAAATATGTATAGACTTATATGATTGTGAAACTTTCATTTACTTTCGCGAAATGTATGTTGCGAATAAATTTTTTTTTTTTTTCACAAAAGTATATTTGCAATAAAAATGTTTGTGTATAATTGCTTTTATATTTGATTTCACAAGGATTAAATTTTTAGAATGGTAATTTCAAATTTTGATAATAACATCTTTCTACTATTATTATTAATTCGTTTGATACAGTATTTCATATAATTCAATAAAAATTGACATATGTTATTTCAATGTAAATATTTTAATTAAACGCGAGTAAATTTTTTTTATTCTAATATAAATCGTGAAATATACAAAAATTAAAAATTAAACATTAATTTTGAAAAGCAGTTTCCTTTTTATTAATTTTGTTTCTAGATTTATTTACAGATTATTTTTTGCATTTATTTTATTGAATAAATAATTAATAAAATAGCAATATTTTAGCACATGATTTTATTCGAAAATTCGACTGATTTTTGAACAAAGTTATCCCGTAATTTCTACATCGTGAAACACTTTATTGCTTACGGATTGCGATTTATGGCCGAAAGTCGGCAATTACATAGTATTACACGCCGATTCAAGAAACAAGAAGTTACGAGCTACAGAAGATTACGTCGTACGTATTCGGGTCTGAAATCAGCATCGATAAATTCCAGTTTAGCTGGCAAGACGTAAGGAAATTGAATTCGGAAAATTTCGTCATGGTTTTCCGCCGATCGGAAAATTATGGAAATAACCACCGTCTTTTCGAGGACAGCCGTGACTAATACAGCGCAAACGTGTAGTGGGATTCTCTAAGATGCGGAATTTATCCACAGCATAATTCCGTCATCGATCCGCATGCCTTCGCCACATTTTTATCGTTATTACGATGACCATCTGGAAGTCTGTTCTTTACCCTCTCGCAGTCATAATAAACAATTATACGCGGATTTGTTGATATTTCGCGAAGATATTCGCGATCGCACACTTCCTGCAATATACTGGATGAATTTAATCTCCTCTCAAATATGTTGAAAAACTTTAATATTTCATAATTGGAAATTGTAACGATTGATAAAGATTTGAAACGCGTGAAAAACTCGACGACAGATCTTTATAGAACATTGAAAATTAATTTTTATTTTTGGCTTTTATAGAGTGTAGTAAAGTACAATAGAGTCTACCTTTGGCAAGGAGCCAAATTTTTTATTGCTCTCGAATAGCAATGTAAAATTTTTAAATCGCGTTTAAATTTTTCTATTACCATTCTAAAAATAATTTTACTATCAGACTTTGAAATATAAAAAATTTTTATTACTTTGAGTTTAGTTAGAGCTTGTATCAAAATTAACTTTGCTTTTTACGTGTTCTTTCTCTCTCTCTCCTAACATGCGATTTATCCTTGTTTATACACGGAGAGAATTTTCTCAGAGTTTACTCCGAAAATTATGTAATCGTGGGACAATATGGTATTGGAAGAATTTTATGAGTTTCTGTTATTAATATTTACCACAATAAAAATTTTAATATGGTAAATTTACACTATGTATATAGTAAAATTAATTGAGCATATTTTATATCTTATTGTGATAGATATTAATATTTTTATAAAAAATATTAATATGTACATAATACATTTTTTATATATATAGTAAAATTAATTGAACATATTTTATATCTTCTTGTGATAGATATTAATATTTTATTATGGTAAATATGAACCAGAGAAGCTCTTATAAAATTCTGCCATGATTCTATCATGATTTTCAGGGTAAATTTTAAGAGAAAATCTGATCGAAACTGCACAATGTAAAGGCGGCAAATCGCAAAAATATACAATAGTTATTCGGGACAATCAAACCGCACGTGTTGGTCAGTCGTTCTTTTTGCCCGGTCAGCTCGAAACGACATTCGTATAAGCTCGGAAATGTAGGAAAGACGATCTGCGGAACGACACACGCTGGACCAGATTGGAGCTTGGATTTATGCCGAGCCCGGGTGTGACGTCGTAAGTCCTTCCGGCTGCCATAAAAGCAAGTTATGCGATCCCGTAAAGAGCCGGAGGCCTTGGGCGTACACAATGTTGGCCTCAGAGTGCGCGAGATTTAGCAAGTTCCTAGCCCGGCTATAGAACGTTTCTCGTTTCGCTAGCTAGGCTCCGAGCTTTAAGGGAGGAGCTCTCGAACCTCCGGCCAAACGTTCGGCTTTATAAATAACAATTACGAAAAATTGGATGATCGATAACGCGACTAATAACGACAATGTTGCGGTCATGGAAGAGTATTGAAAAATAAATGAAAACTCGAGCTTTAAAAATTCGCTCGTCCGCGGATGCAATCCCCATTCAGCACCGGAAATGCGTGTTGTGTATTTGTTCATCAATATTAGTTCCGATACAAGTTATGTGTATGCGTTCGCAGTTATGACTTGATTGCAAATAGGTTTGAAAATTCGCGAATGGAAAAAAACGCGATGAAAATTAATAAATAAAAAAACAAATTAATAACCAAGGGAGATGTAGGTAATAAATTATAGAAATGATTATTAAATATATTAATTCTTCAAATGATCTGTACTGTTTACACGAAATTAAATACTTATTTTCGTAAAAGTGCTTTTCCAAAAAGGGAAAGTTGCAGTTTCGTTAAGAGTGCAAAGATATTTTATTTATTTCTAGAACAAGAGGTGTTAATTCTCTTTTTCTTAAGGTGCTAATAAAGCGTTGCTTTCTCGAGAACTTGAGAATATTGTTTACTATCACGTTTCATTGTCATTTCAAAAGCAATTTTCCGTGCTAATGTAGCATGACGTGAAAGTCCATGCTTTCTCTTTTCCAAGAAAAAGAATGCAAGTAACATCCGATTATCAAAGAGAAATACGCAATACTATATATTCTGTCTCCTCTCATAGCTTTATTAAGCTGCAAGTTTATTAGTCTAAGCTCCTGCCTCTTTGCGGTTTGCGGAAAATCCAAAGAATGGCATGAAATATATATTTCTCCAACATTTTTATTGGATTCAAATTATCCTATTAAAATGCGGAACTTCTCTTTCGTGCATAGTTAATTTTTTATGCATGGCGCTAATTAAGTTTTACATGTTAATAAACCGCCGTTTTTCATCGAAGCTAGAAAACATGTATATTACGTGATATTATGAAAATTTTATCCTCAATTTTTATTGTTATTAACTAAATTTTGTTTGCCGTTACATTTATTACACTCTACACATTCAATGTTCAAGTAGATAAAGTTTTTACGAAACGAAGTCAATATCATAGTTTAGAAAAAAGAAGATGGAAGATAGTCGTTAGCGAGAAATAAATTGTACATTATTTTTGCAAACAAGAATCAGCAGAGATATATGAAAGAAACTTTTCATCTTTATCGCTCTATCACGGTTTAATTGAACGACATTCAATATTTATTAAAAAAGTGCAACCTTCGTCACGGTATATATTATACTCTATCTCGTTTATTATCTTTTTAACAAAATAATCTATCATTTTTGCAGAATCATTACAAACAAAATCCATTACGAATATTTCTTTCGATTTTCCATTCTATTCCATTTCTCTCCATTTCCATATATTATTTTATATTATATTATATGAAATATATATACGTACTTTCTTCAGCGTGTATTTTTACAAAAATATAACGCAATATACAATTCGTTAGGAATTCGAATTATTTGCATAGTAATAAAAAATAGAAGGCGGCACTTTATTTGAATATATTTCACTTTGAATACGTTTTACAATTGGTTGGCCATTTGTTATTCAACGAGAGAACTACAATTTGTATGCATCGAACAAAACTTTTTCAATAATTCAAAAATCTCAAATGAAATTGAAGTTAATCTTTTAATTTTCATTTTCTCAATGAAATTAAAACTGTAAAAGCATTATGAAACATACATATTTATGGCTTAAAACTTTAGGAAGATATAAGAAATTATGAATTAAAATTAATTACATAACAAAATATGTGAGGAAGCAAAGAATTATGAAAAAATAAAAATAAATTTTAATTAAATAGAATTTATAAGTAATCACTTTTTAAATATAAAAAGTATTATGTATGCTCTTGTGAATTATAATGTGTGCAACTTACAAGCCCGAGATAAATGCAATTTTTAACGTATTAAAGCAAATAAACGCATTTAATCAAATGGCACTACAACGCATTATGGTGAAATTTATATTGGTATTATTATTAGTATTTTTTATTATGCATAAATAAAACAAAAAAAAAACAAATAATTACTGCATTTGTATGTATATATATATTTGTTTATATATTTTATGTTTTTTTGATGAAGATTTATTTATGTCGAGTCGTGAATCGAGAAATTTATTTAGTCAAGAGGAATTCTGTTTTAAAGCCGTGTTGACAGATTGACGGAAGAATTCAATTTGTCTGCATTGCTGAAAAATGTTCTGTGTGAATCGTTAAACGAGGGTAAACACGTAAAATTAAAATCATAAAAATATTCTGTAAATAAAGCTTATAAATACCGGACAATTTTTTTAAATTGTAGTATTTAAGGTAATAAATCTCTTTCTGAATCACAAAAAATTTTCAAAGATTATTACACACACGAGTAAAAGATTTTTCCTCTAACTAAAATTAAAAAATTTCTCCCAAAATACAAGAAATTTTATTACGTTAAAGCTATATTAAAATCAAATGTTTGTGCATTTTCGAGAAATAATATATTTATTAAATTTTATTAAATTCGAAACGTTTGAATATTATTTTCGTATACAAATTAAAAGTACACACTTTCTATGTCTTTCTTTGCATAAGTTATAGACGATCATATATCGTGCCTGTTGGTGAAGAAGGTAAAAAAGGTTTCATATTTTATTTACTCTGTGCACTAATGGATTCCTACTTAATCTTAAGTTAATAGATGACGATATTGGCGATAATATATCCCACAAAAAATCTGGTTGCAAGGAAGTGTGGTTTTCTCTCCCTTTATCGATCCGATTGATTATCGGGAGAGAGAAGGCGTAAAATAATACGAACAATTCTAGGCGCGTACTAATGAAAATGGAGAAGTGTATGATGAGAATATGTGTATATCGAATGACATTTTTTGTATGCATTTTTGTTTATATGAAATAATTTTTCTATGCACTTAGAAAGGTGTTTTATTAAATTAAAAAATTGAGCTTAAACTAAAAATTTGATTAAAAATAAAATAATTTAATTTAGATTTAGTTTCTGTTCTTACCTGTGCTATTTGATCAAACCTGCCAAAGAGCTCGTTGAGGGTTTTCACAAGATCGGAAGCTGAGAGCTGCTCCGATAAGGGTGTAAAGTTGACGATGTCCGCATAAAGAATACTACGCAACAAAGACATTTTGTTTTTAAAATTACATTTCTTGTATTTTATAAAGTTGTTTAGAATATAAAAAATATTTAAAAATTTTATAATCAAAGATTTTAAAATAATTAATTTTTACATAAAATTTCTCTCAAAAAATATTTTACAGAAACGAATAAAATTTGATATCTTCAACTTCGTATATTTTATATTACCTCACTCTTAAGAGCATCTAAAAAATATATCTTAAAGCAAAAGGGAGCATATTGAGAAAAATTGCCTTTGATGAACCATTTGATGTTTAAAGCGCGCATGAATTAAATCGGATGCTGCACAATCGCGTACGTGATTTAAATTCAGATATCACTGGATCGAGGCATAAAAGCAGAACGATCAAAAGCGACATGTGCTGCGTGCGTTTAATTCGATGCAATCGATATCCTTATTATCTTCGACCTACATAATTGTTGAGAGAACTAAATACGCGTTTATTAAAAACTGATTAAATTATTTCTGTTCTTGACCTTGCGACTTTATACATTATTTTTAACATTACTTTTTTCATTGCACATCGATTTCAACAGATATTTGTATAAATGAAAAATTCTCGTAGTAAAAATATCAAGAAATAATTAAAATTTAAATGTTAATTTTTTATGTCGATTCTACAGAATCAAAATTGTAGTATGATTTATACATATATTCGAATATTGATTTATTTCGAATTTGTAAAGAAAAAAATAACATTTTCGGATTATGTCAATTAAAAATCATGATATAGGAATCCGTTTTATTACAATCAAAGAAATGAAGTATAAATTTTAATGACGTACCTGACATTATTATGTCGCTGTACATACATCTCTTGAAAGGTGGTTTGCTTATGCTTATTAGCTTCCTGACAAGCATCCGCCATTTTTAGCATTATACTCCTTTTTACCTGCGATAAAATATTATGTATTAATATAGATTTTTTCAATAAAAACATTTATACAAATATTGTAATTTTCTATAAAGATATGTCGTTGCGTAAAAGCTTTGCAATAATTAGATTGACCAGCCATCATATTTGAATATTTATGTATCTCTGATGTTTATATATTTCTTTTTATTTCTGATGTGCTGAAGTGAAAATTTGTGCATTATTCAATCCCGCATCGACAGAACATTATGTACGTCCATAGTTTACGATTTTCATTCAAAGTCGTAAATTATTCATGTCACACGTAAATATCGTTATACCGTATAACGACGATTGCATTCGAAAATAATTGGAATCTGAATTACAATCGATTTCAATAAACAAATCCGCTTCGCATGGCAAGTACTATTAAAAGTAATCGATATCTCAATCGGATTTTCTTTATATGTATATAATAAGTGTCGCACACAAGTAAAGAAATATATGTAATTAAAAAATATTGAATATTTATCAAAAATATTAATATAGAATAATCTCTTTATTTAATTATTTTTCAACATTTGTCTAAAAAGATTTGGTAAATAAATCGTAGATATATTTATATACGTAGAGTCGTTAGAAATCTGTCTGTGTAAATTGCCTTGTAAAATTATGTATTGTAGCAATTTGGTCTTTAACAAAGATCGTGTGTGTCTAAAATTCGTGTGTGAAATTCGGCGTTGCTGCCACGAAAAGGATTGAGTATTTGCGTAAATGGGAACCGTTTACACGCTTGTCGAGTTCTAACGATGGATTCCATCAGCGCATCCTGAAACTATCCTTGATGTATGTATATTATGTAACGTTATATACTCTCGAGCCCTTTTGCGCACGGATGAATGTATCTTCCCGGAGATGTAATTAACACGAAGACGAGGAAGACCTTTCGACTGATTGCTCTTCCGCGCGTCCCATAAATAACTGACATTAAATTTTCGTTATAAAACATACATATCCTCTCCGTCTTTCGTTTCAAATGAGATTCTTCGCCAATCGGAATCTAATTCCGTACAGAGACAACTTTTACATCGATCTTTAGTTACTTCTGCACAAGAACTTTTCGTGAAAGTTGATTTGCATGCAGCCGGATATCTTTATTAAATCGATCTATACATCATAAGATGAAGACAATCGTGTTTTACAATTTTAACTTTTCTTCTTCTTCTATTAGAGAAACTACTTAATTGCTTCTAGCGCGAGATGCAAATTTCATCTCTAGCATGACCGTTAATTTATTCTTGTGATTAAATACACAGTCAAAAGCCGAATATATATGGTAAAAGTGAAAATTTCATTAAACGTTAATCGATTAATGATCGCAATAAAAAGTTATGTATATTTCTCCACGCACAGCGAAAAATTAATCTTGTGATTCTGTAATGAATCATAATCCAGGTTTTAATTGGATTCACGCAGAATAATTTCGTGCGATACATTTTTATAGCTCACCTCTGCTGCGATGTAAGCAGGAATAACGCTCAGCAATAATTGTTCCTGCTGTTCCCTCTCGCATTCTAATTTGATTCGCGACTCAATCACCGTCTTTGTGCCTGAGAAAGTTTTTCGATGAGCCGACGCTGTCAGGATCCTATAATACATACCTGCGAGGATAGCAGCCAGGAGAAACACGATTTCCACGAGGATCTGTCACAAGAACGTTTCTCCAAAATGCTTGATTTTTATGCATCGATTAAAGCATATACTTGAAATCTTTTATTTTTAATCAATTCCAGAATATATATTAATAAATATATTTTATAATATTTACTGCAGCATTTAAAGATTTTACTTTATATACTAATTTTCGCGATATTGATATGGCTAATAATATCACTTTCGTAATTAAAGCATTTTAATTAACTAAAGCGGATTTTAATAAATCCTTTATATTAATTTCCTTTTGTAATTATTTATTCTATACGCAATATATAATAGTGATTGATTTAAAAATAAAAGAGATTGTACCGAAATCTCCGCTATATTTACCTGAATTATATTATAATAGCTCGAGAGATCTTCAAAGATAAATCTTCCCAAAACATGCGTGAGAGCCAGGATACAGCCGATGATGAGCGGTACATGCCACCTCATTTTAGGCAGAATGGCGATTATTGACAGGATGCAGGCGAACAAGGGCAGAACGCCTCTTAATATTAGAATTCCTAGACCAAGTATGATGGAGGATGTTAAACCTATTAAAATCCTCGACCGTTTGGAGGTCATGGTAGAGGATAATTGCGTGACCACTAAAAGTGTCAACGATACGATGAGCATGGTCGTCAATGTTGATACAGGTACAAGATCGATCACTTGCAACAGCTTCTGAAAAATATTTTCGAAGCGCGAGATCAATTTTCCATGATTATATAACTTCGATATATTCACTTCGAGATGTTTCATCAACTTATTCCCGCAAAGTCTCCCTTGTCAGGACTTACTTATATTTACAATTCAAAGTTTTTATTCAACTTTATGTTTTCCGGAGTCTCAATAAATTTGCCTCGTCGACGATTTCACTTGTATGATATATTTCTTTATGTCAAAAAAAAAAAAAAATGTTAGAGAAACTTTTTCGATTTTGAGCGGATAAATCACGTTATTAATTTTCTTGTACGTTTTTTTGTGAATCGCTAATCCAAAAGGATCAACGTTGCTGCTTTCTGGATCCAATTTTAATGTAGTGTCTTGTATATGCTTGGTTCGAAAAGCTTCGTATCACTGATATCAATATTAATTTCTCGGGCTAACAAACGCCCTGCAGTCAATCTTAGAATACATCTTGTTAACTAATTCGCAAATAATACGTATATACAGTACCGAGAAGAACCTTGTGGACCTGTATCGATCCTTATAAAGGAGAACGCTAGAGATGGAGTTTTAATTGAAATTTAATTACGGCTTCGATCTCGTCATCTTGTAATTTCTACTCTTGAAAGATAATGATGTAAAGATATATAATTTAGAATAATTTGAACATCTTGCTTTGTGTGTGCACGAGCATTGATTTTTGAAAATAATAATTAATTATAAAATATTGTAGTAAGACGAGATAGTTAGCTAAAAGTATGACATAAATATTTTATATTTTCTTTGATTAATAAATTAAAGTCGAAACATATAGAAATTACATGAAGATTAAGTTCTATTCTTTTTTATTTTAGAGTTGTTTCAAAAGAAGAAAAAAATAATATATATAAAAATATAAAAATAATTAATAATAAAATCATTATTAAAAATAATTAATAAATAGTTAAAAAATAAATATATGTTTTCTAATTTTTGATAATTAGCATAGAGAGGAATAGTACTTACAACGTAATCAGTAATGCATAGAGCACCTAGAGCGACTAGTGAAGCAATTGCGGCGACACAAAGTGTCCCTGTGTAAAGAGACGCCGTCAATTTTCCCTCGTATTTGTCGCGAAGTTCCTGAAGTTCCTTAACGCCAGCATCGTCGCTCGTAGTGTCGCCGAGACTCTCTGAAAAAAAAAAATCCAGTCTCTATGTTAACTTTGTTGCATTCATGTATTGCGTACGTGAAAGAAACGTGTATGAAAAGGAATGCGTGGGATATGGAAAAAAATTCCAGAAATTCAGAGAACACGTTATATATATATTTAATAGTTATCACAAAGGGATATTTCTCGAATACTCATGCCAAGAAGACAACTAAAAGATACATGTTTAACTTTAAATTTTACGTAATGTTATATTTGTCATATCGCGAGATAATAAATATAAATAATTTTTATATTTAATTTAAATAAATTTAAATATTAATTACAGAGACTTTTCATTTTTTATGGAATAAATCTAAACGTATATATCTATTTTCATTAAATATACATGTCTCTTTTCAGTAGTAGTACAATTATAATAGTGTATTGTGTGCAATAATAAATTCATCAAGAGGAATATTGTATGTGTGTATACTGCACAAAAATCTCAATTAATATTTACATTCTTAGTAGGTTAGAGATATGCTTGCTTACAACATACATATGTGAGGCAATAAAGTGTCTGACATCGTGTTTCAGACGTAATCCAACAGGGAATTACTGACTTGATATATCTGACTTCTGTTTTGGAAAGGCTTTCATATTACGCTTAGTCTTGTAATTAAACGCTGTATAAAGTTATATAACGTTGCATTGAGAACTTCAATCATAGTCAGGCTTAATTATTTAATCTATGTACATACAAGCCAAATTTGTCTTAGTTATGATATATTGTAGTCATATTTGTACGATTGGCCTCTCAATTATTATTCGAGCATTTCTGATGATATTACTATTATATACATAAGTACAATAATATTTAATTAATTATGGAGTAATGAAATTTAGGGTGCATATCTTGACATTGCAATTTGTATGCACTATATTATGCGCGCACATATAACGGATTAAATGTATATATATATATATATATATATATATATATATATATATATATATATATTATACATATATAATATACTGTATTATATCATATTGCATATTTGTGTTTTTAATATTCCAAATTACAAAGAAGGATTGTAATCAACATATTTTAAATTAAATAATAATTTTCATATGTGTATAAAAAATTCATTTTTTCGCAATTTTTGTTAAAGGTCGTTAAGGTTCTTGCAGCGAAAAATTACAAAAGTTATTGCATGCGCTTTAACAACCAAAGCTTTTTCGTCGTACCGACGATGATGACATCCATAAAGGTTAATTGGCAGCCGTTTAAAAGACGAGTGGAGAGAGTAAAGATTAAGATCGATACGTAGCGTAGAAAAGTAGAGTGGGCACAAACTTAATTAAACTGATTAATAATTTATATTCTCATTCTTTAATTACAACTAGATGGAAGAGATAAAGATTAAGTTTGAGGATCATAAATGAAGATGGAACACAATTCTTAAGATTACGTGGAAATGTAACGTAAAACCTCATTCGATCTCCGACTAAAGTGCAATGAAATATAAGTTAAATACATTAGTAAATAATATATTAGTTAAATAAATCTTTATAAAACGATATAATTTTATAAAGATAATTTATATAATTTTATTTAACTTTCATATAATTTTATAATTTTATTTTTATTATTATATATATTTTTGAATATTTTAGTGAAAGAGGGAGATATAATATATACTGCCTTCGACTTTGCACTAAAACTCTAAATATATTAACTTTAAGACTAATTTTAAATAGTATATTTATTGGATTGTAAAATAGTAATAAGATTTCATTTATAGTATTTATAACATTTTATGTCCGAACAGATAAAATATGCAATGGACATTGCATTCCGCACGATAAGTACGTGTCGAGTTATATAAGAGCAAACTGAATATTTCTCTCGCATTTCTTACTTCTCTTGCAAAACGTTTCTCCTTCGTTTCACTATCTTCATAAAGAATCTAATATTTTTATCATGCGTTACATTCTCTCCTCGGTAGATTTTATTCTACTTCGGCTTAGGATAAAAAGAGGATTGATTAAGCCACTGCGTCGGATCGTTTCCAAGTTCGTGACTCTCGAAGCTTCAATATGGTAATGTTCTATCGATAATTCTTCACGATAGAAACCCGATACGTGAACGATATGCGTGAGAAGAGGATATTTCGAGAATGTCAACTATCTGGCGAACTTGTCTAGAAAATCGACTAGTGCAATTGGCAAAGGATCATTGCGATGTGCCAGAATTTATGTTTTTGTAGCATATATTTTTATTACAATATTTCGAATTTCATAGAGTATGTATTTTGGAAAATTTTCAAATTTTATCTACAAATTATATATATAAATATCAGTTATATACACATAAATATTCGTATAAAAATATATTTATAGATATATTTATTTTAAATTTATGTATTTGTATTATTTTCTCTCTTTCCTTCTTTCTAATTTTTTTCAGTTATTTTAATTTTTTAAACAGAAATTTTATAATAACTACTTAATTTTAACGCGATTATTAAGCGCAACAAGATATCCGTTTATTAAAAAAATGCACAAATTTCATAAACTTTCGAACAGATTACAATGTAATCTAAACTGGTTTTTATTATACAATAATCGTTTCTTTCAATTATCACGAACGGCATAATCCATTTTCGTTTATTACATTTTTACAATATTACATATGACATTTTTCTAAATATATAAAAATAAAAGTTAAATGAATAAAAAGGCGTAGCCTTGTATCACGTGGCCATTCTGCTGTGCATTAACTTAATTGATCGAAATTGTCGTCGCTGGCAGCTCTAAACGAATCAAGCTAATCCGCTAATGAAACAAGTCGCGTTCAGACACGCGATCCGAGCTAATAGTTCGAATAAGTCAAGGGCAACGATGTCGGTGATTCTAATTAGCTATCACTCTTTCGCGTCTCTATAGGCTGTAATACACAAAAGTGTGCAATTAAGCACCTTGTTAAATGGATCATCACGTTCGGAATTATATCGATCGAAATTATTCCGCTCAGGCTCGCCCAACTGCTGCATATGTACCATACACTGCCTCTGTAATCCGCAACTGTAAATCATGATAATATTACGTGACAAGTAACGCAATATTACATAGCCGATATTGCGATGTAATGATCAATTAAATGAAATAACATGTATATATAGTATAGATAATAAATAGAAGAAAACGAAGTGGAGAAGATAAAATAAAGTATATTATTGCACATATATAATTATAACAAAGGTGCTCCGTTTTTCCTTTTTTTTACCACTTCTTTTTACATCTCTAAATTTTTGTGAAATATTATATAGTATCTTTATCACACGCCATATAAGAGAAAATAAATTATAAATCTGATTAAAGGATATACACATTTTATTCATGCGTTATGTTGTGCAAGTACTGTTATTTTCTATTCCATTTACGCAATTGTTCTTCGCGAAATGAGAACTGTGCGACACTTCATTAAAGTACGTTTTAATTGGGCGTTCATGTTTCTCTCTTTCTTTTTTCATTATATCTGATCGTGAAATGTGATGATATGACAAACCGCTGTTTGAATGAAATGGTTGGTTCGAGAATAGTTTGCTCTTTCTCTACATTCGTAACTTTGAATACCTTCTGCTCATTAGATGTATATAAATTATGCCTGAGTGAAAAAATCACGAGGATACTTTACACACAATAGTAAATTACAATATTTCCCCAATATATGCAATGCATACATTTTTACATTAATAATGTATGTCTAATAAACAGATTTTGAAGCGCATTTATATCGACAGATAGGAAGAAGATCGCGATTCGCTAGCATTTTAATTAATGTCGTTCAAGTTCATTATTGTACTATTAATATCATCTCAAGAAAACTCAGATCAATTCGGTCCAATTAGCGCGTTGTTCGCGAAGCAGATTGTATCATTATATAAAGCAGACACACGTTCCATCGTCGGTCCAACTGTGTTAATTACGAACTTCGACTTCCGGGTTTCACGATCGTGCCGATTCAGCAATTATCGAACTCCGCACCCTGTGTGCCAGCTTTGCGTTTTCGCGCTTTTCACTCAATTTTCTGCACCGCAGTGAGCAAATTTAATGAAGGCGTAACATCGATGTGCGATATGCGTATGCACACGCGGGTTACAAAATATGCGGTAGAGTCAGTCACTTCTTCGTTTTTATCGATTTAATCTCTCGATAACAACTACAACTTTATCGTATTACTTAATATTTAAAAAAAAAAAACAATTTTTTTTCTTTTTTATTACCTCTCCCTCTCCGATGTTTATATACACAAGATCTTCTTTTTTAAAGAAATTATTAAATTAAGTATTTCTTTTCGTTATTTGAAATATTATTAACACCTTACTTATTATTTAAATATAATATTTATTTTTCTAGTAAGTGAGAAAATTCTCCTTTGTTTTTATCGATTTAATCTCTCGATAACAACTACAACTTTATCGTATCACTTAATATTTTAAGAGAAAAAACAATTTTTTTTCTTTTTTATTACCTCTCCAGTTTATATGACACACAAGGTCTTTTTTTAAAATTTATTAAAGTATTTCTTTTTGTTATTTGAAATATTATTAACACCTTACTTATTTATTTAAATATAATATTTATTTTTCTAGTAAGTGAGAAATATTTGCATTATTTCTCATATTCATATATTTATTAATCAAGTAAATATAGAAACATATAATTTATTATTTAGACAATCGCGGTATTACGATTTTATTTTTCATCTTTACTTTATACTGAAAAGAAATACAATTTTTACAATTTTGTATTTTTCTTATAAATTAATCAGGCTTTTCACTGCATAAATTAAAAATTGTTGATGATCGATTGATTGTGTTTAGATATGTAAATGATGAGTAAATATTATGCCGGAGATCTGGCATTGATTTATTTTTCTTTTCTTGAATTTCTAATGCAAAGTACAGGAACGCAGAAATTTATTCTTTCTATACGTTGTTTCTGTCTCATTGGTTTGCATATTTATTGGC